CACACACACTTCCCCTGCTACCTCCAGCTTCGTGTCTGGGTCCACCGCAGGAGGAGAGCTGGCCGCTGGGCAGACAGGGCAGCGGGGTGTGGTGAGGGGGTGGTGAATGCGTGCCGCTTGAATACTAATGTGCCACTTTAGGAGTCAACCTCTTCTCCATCCCCACATCCCCTCTGCTCTGTCCCTGTCTCTCCCTGCATCTTTTCCTTACTGTCATTTCCCTTCAGTCTCCTCATCTCCCTTTTCTCATCTTTTTTTCTCACCTCCCCCACTTCTCTAAACAGCCCTAGTCTCCCTCTCTCTTCTTCCTCCAACTTGTCTTCTCTGTCTTCTCACTCCTGTCTTCTTCTTTCCTACATGTGCCAGGCTTTCCATCACCCACGCTCCCTCTACATCCTTCCAATTCAATCCTTCCACTCTGTATCACTCATCAAACTCTGTCTTCTCCCCAAGATCTTTCTCTTTGACGTTTACTTTTTAAACCCACACACACACACACACACACACACACACACACACACACACACACACACACCATCCTTGACAAAGCCAGCTAATTACAGGCAAGTGTCCACTCCAGCCCTTCTTAAATACCGAGCTGATTAATGAGACGGAGGTGTAGGGCCAGGAAGTCTCACCCTCGGAGGGTGGTGATACACACCCTTCTCTCTCTGCAGCTCTCTGTCTCAGACACACACACACACACACACACACACACATCTTTCCTTTTTCACACTTGCAAATGCAAATTATCAGCCATGTACAGCTTCATTACAGAAATACTGGTATCAGTTTTTTATGGCTTACCTCCTCCCAAATGTGTCTTAGCCCTTCTACTCCTCCACCTGTCAGTAGCAGAGGCAGCCTGTTGACTTTTAGTATTTTTTTTGTTGTACAGTAACTCCTGCAGAGGAGAGCTAAGCGGCGAGAGCCAGCCAGGGGGCCCCAGGTGTAGCAGGGGCCTCCTCTGAAGTGATGTCGGCTCATTTTCTCAGCGGCGGCTCAGGCACGACTCACCGTCGGCTCAAAATGGCCTCCGACACATCTCTGTGTCTGATTTGTGTGTGTGTTTGACCCTGAGGACCGGCGTGAATGCTGCCGGAGCAAGGAGATAGAGTGCAGCTGCTGCCGCTGAATGCTGACACACATGCCGAACAGTAAACGCGTGCACACACACACACACCTGCACAATCACAATCTAGACTGGGTCAGCGAGGTTCAAAGCATTTGTATTCATGGAAGGTTTTGCATTGGCTCCACCACCTACAGTGTTTCATCTAACTGTGGGACGTGGCTTTCTACTTTCACACTCAGAAGACCTTGGACTGTGTTGGAGTGTTTTTATGGCTGTATTTATGGCAGTGTGGTGCTACCTGAGTGAATCTACCTGACTGAATGCTTGAAGGTGCACTGTTTTGATGCTCATATTGACCCTTGTGACACTCGAGCTATGAGCATACACGTGCTCATGCTGTGCACGTGTCAATCCTGATCCAATTGTACTGCAGAGAAGCATGCACAAGCAGATACATGCATGTACATGCCAACCAACTGAGGTCTTCCATAGGTTGGCAGAGATGTCATATATCAACTACAGTCCCATATCAAATTTGGCTTTCATAGTAAATATAATTGAGCACGATTTTATTAATTTAAACAACATTTGACAAATTCCAATCAGCATTTCGCCCCCATCATTGTACTGAAACAGCTTAATTTTAAGATCCTAAATTACTTTTGAATTAACACTTACTCTCTCACTGCTGCTCCACCAGCTTGCAGTTCCCAGGTGCTATCCTGTCCTGGAGCAGGTCCTATTTTGTAAAACATAATGTTTTTTAATCTTTCTCTATTTAATCTGAAATCTTCCTTCGAAACAGGTCAGCTTGACCTGTGGAGTCTTGTTCAGTCTATACATGCTGCCATAAAGGCATATTTTTCAAAGCAGTAACATTATTGCCATACTTACACAGACAATACTTAAATGTACATTTCTCTGTCACGTTAGGACTATGGCCCTGTTGTCACACTTCACACAGTTTATTTATCAAATTAATGACACTCTCTTTCTAAATGAAGACAAAACTGGTTTGATTGTTTTTGTCCGATAATGAAAGACAGAAAATCTTAACTTCAACTGTAAATTATGGCCAGAAACTTGGATGTTGTCTTTGATTCAGATCTAAATTCTAGCAGTCATATTATACCAGTTATGGCATCATCGTCTTATATAATCTAAAAAATATTGCTGAATATGCTTATTGATAATCTTATTTTAATGTTTTAATTTGTCTTTTAATCCTATTCTTTCTGTATGGCACTTTAAACTGCCAATGATATAATTGCTTTATACCTTGCCTTTACTAATAATCACAGTGATTACCAACACACCACATCCTATTATTGTTACTGGTGTCACATACTCCTACTAGAGTGACACACACTCACTCTATGGGGGGTTTGGGTGCAGATTTTATAGATCTGGTCGTCATTCCCCCATTCTCCCTCTCTTCATCCTTTGCTCACTTGTTACTTTGTTCCCTCCTGAGCAGCTTGACGTTAATTCCCAGAGATGTTTCCATTGCAAACTGAAAAGTGATGGTGTCACCTTTTAAACAGTGACGTGCGTGATTGTCATCATGTTAGGGTCTGACACTCACACGGAAGTGCAAGGACATGCATGAATGCACACTGCGGTGTCTTTCTTATAATTGAGTTGAAACAAAGATGAACTCTTAATAAAGCAGGTTCTGCCTCCTGCAGACAAGCAGTTCTTTTCACATAACAGCAGAGATCAACTGTTTGTAAAGCTGCATTTATGTACTAAGGGGACTCACACCTAGACTAGAAACGATGTCCATTCCAATGCCCATGGGAAACCTTAAATGGTTGCTTCATCTAAAAAAATATTTCCTCAATTAAGATGATTGGTAATTTATGGGCCAAATACAGTATTTCTGAGCCATAATATCGGCAGCACCTGGTATATACTTTAGCATTCTATGTAACCAAGACCCCTAATGTCAGTATGCTTTTCGACAATATTGTTTGTCCCTCAAGTATTGGGGGTGTTTTTGGGTGTTATAATGACTAGTGGTTTGCACATAAATGCATAAATAAATAAAAATAATAAGTAGCATCATAGAAAATTGAAACTCAGAAATTCTGACCTGGAAAAGGACAAATACTGGAGCAAAAGTGATTGAGTTGGAGCAGAGGATATAGGAGAGTCTCCTGATTTTACTGATGATGAAGTTGGGGGATTAAGAAGAAAAACATATCAGCATGAGGGGGGATTTGGAAACGATATCTGACATTTCATAACTTTTTAATGGATCACTTGAATTCCATATGAACACATCGTGTTGGCCCATAGTGCAGTATCACTCAACACACTTCAAACTTCAAATCAGAGTACGCAAAACCTACTCAGCATGCTCGCTTGGCCTCGTGTTCAGTGTGGAAATCCAACTTGGCTCAGACAAGGAGGAAAGTTGGCCAGAGAGCTCTTTCTCTTGTTCCCTTGAGAATAAGAAACTAAAAATCTATAAAAACCTCACAACTTTGTGATTGTTGAAAACACTCAGTAGCAACATGGTGCCACATTTTCTACCATTTTCTTACCAAACCACGGTTGCTATGAACACAAAATGCAGTAAAATAATCTTAAATTTGAACTGCATCTCAGTGGATGGAGGTTTTTTTTGCTTCTTTTTTTGCTCACTTTGCTTGCTTATGAAGACCATGAGATGCGTTTGAAAGCAGTTCAAAGAATAAATGACACATACTAATTTCAGTATTTATCCCAAGAAATACCTGGCACCTGACGGAAAGTGTTTACAACTGGCTGTAAGTGGATGTGGAAATGTATCTTATCAGTCACAGTGAAGCTCATTGGCTGGCTGGTGACACCATCCTTCCAAGACCAGCAGTGCATATTGGGAAACAACAGGGTAGAATACAGAGACAAAAATAGTATTTAAAACAGAACCAACCAACCAGCAAAGGAAAGTGTGTCTGGGGTAAGAAAATCCAAAGTGGTGGACGAGGAGAGAATAAAGCATCAGTGGTTATGTAGAGGACGTAGCAGGTTGACCTGGCGTGGCATGGCACAGCATGGCACGGCATTGCAGGCTCCAATGAGGCTTCACCCACCCAGGGCTCCATCCCGCCTGAGCTCAACACAATCAGGCCTCAGCGGCAAAACTGACTGAAGGTTACCATGACAACCCGGAGGCACTGCCTGCATGGGACAAAGGCTGGCAGGTCCTGTGTGTGTGTGTGTGTGTGTGTGATTGAGAAAGAGAGAGTGAGTGATGTGTGGCAGAGCAGGCCCGGCCCTCCTGGGGCCCTCATTCGTTTGTCTCTCGCTGAGACCACAGGAGCCCTGATGCAGCAGAGATGGAGGAGGAGGTGGTGGTGGTGGTGATGGTTGGGGTGAGGAGAGGGGGAAGGATGGGGAGGGGGCAAGTGAAAGAAAGGCAACTGATGTGAAAAGGGAGGATGATAAGAAAGATGCAGGAAAAGGTGAAGAGTGAAGGAAAGAATAAGAACTAAAAAAAATAGCAAAATTAATACATTGAAATTTGGGGGACTAGAGATTATTCTGTGCCCGTTTGTTCATTCCCTCATCAATCAATCATTTGCAATACCTCATACAGCAAAGCCCGGATCTTGACACAATTTGACTTCACTGTTACATTTTGGCAAATTAATTACACCAATTAGTAGGGTACTCAGAATTCCAAGTTTTAATAACCTGTCTACTCACTGCAAGTTCAAATGACTTGAAACTGCTCCTTCTTGGCTCGACAGAAAATAATGAAACAGTGAGTGCACTTAGGCATGGTCTGACTGCTCTGTTTTACTGCACCAAAACGTAAAAAATAAGTAATAGATTTTTTTTTAAACTTACAAAACTTGTTTCCTACCAGTATCAACTGTCCGTATCATATTTGGATTTTCGACTAATTTAGAACTGTTCTCTTTTTTCCTTTCAGGTGTAGATCACGCAAACAAGGACCTGAAGAAAAACTTTGTAAGTAAACTTGAAATATGATTTTTTAACAAATCTCATTTAAGCTGCAGAATAAAATATTGTCATGATAGTTATCTCATATACAGTAGATCTCCGGGATGGGTATGCACTGTAATTTCTGATTAAGTTGCCCTGTTATGAGGTTATCGTTTTCCATCAGGTTACACAAACATACTTGGCTTTTCATTAGATTGAAATCTGTGTATTGACTTTTTCTTAAACTGCCCAACTTCTCTATTACTTAAAACCAGAGACAATAAAACTTTCATATAGTGATAAAGCTGTTTAATTCAGTTAGGCTGGTGTTACACAGGCGAGTCATAAAGCATATGTGGAGTGGCAGTGCTGTTTGCTCCTGCTTTGTCATATATAATCCTATAGGCAGTTTGAAGCGCACAGGCCAACTTGTACTTTGTCGGAGCAGATTGTCTGGCATGGATAAGCCTAGCTGGAGAGAGAGAGAGAGAGAGATACATAATTGCTCTTGTACCGTTTACTGCCAAGACATCCTCCTCCTGTTATGCCTATATACACTGGCAAATAAGTCATTCAAACATGTTCACTTTTATGAGGCACGCATAGACACAGCGACAGGCATCTCCTCAGTGACAGTGATTGTCGTCAGTCAGAAGAAATATGTTGACAGACTAATTCAAGTGCCTGTGTTAAGAGTTTTTCCTGGGATTCCTCCATTTCCTGTCATGTCACTCTGATGTTTTGTGTAGAGAGTTACATTATGTTACACTGTGCTCCATTTGTTTTCTGTCTTGATTACAGGAAGCGCTCGCCAGTTTTGACCTGTGTGCTTCACATGGTCTGTCTCATGATCCCATGCCTGTCAGAGATGAGGAGAATAGGTAATGACTGTGGTCCTGTGTTTCTTATCTTGGAAGAGTCAATGAACTGACCCATTTAATAAGCCCCTAAAACGAAAAACACAAGAGAGAAAGTGCAAGAAATGGATTAAACAGTGTATTTATCTGCTCTAATGGAAAATGCAAACGTTTGCATGTCCAGGATAGCTATCTTACAGTAACCTAACCCAGCACTAGGCCATGGAGCATTTCATTAGCTAACTGCATTTTGTTGGGAAAAAAAAGCCTATTCATGATAGTATATCCACTGTGTAGTGTGTGAAAGCTGGTCGACATTAGGGGTTCTGTCCTCACAACCTCAGCCAATGTTACCCAAGATAGTGTTACATTTGCAAAATCCATTATTTTTCATCCTAAAAACCTTTCACTTCAAACATGCTATTCGAAATTACGAACAGGGAAATATAAATCTAACCTCTGTCTTGCTAGTCTAAGTATGTAAGCTAAGCAGCATCATTATGTAAGAATCAAATTTCAAACTAAAAAAAAACTTTGACCTAAACTTTAATCAAAAAATCTAATCATACTTCTACTTGGACTAGCTCTACACTGCAATACAAGAGAAATGCTGTTTCTTTATTTACGTGTCTTCTGAATCATTTAGATCATTAACTTGTGCATGTTTTTATTCTTTTATAACAATACCGTGCTCAGCAAACGGTCAGTTAGCCCACTGCATATTATTGTACTTACAATGTAATAATACAAAATTAAGTCATGGTAAATATGTTAAACAGATTTTGAAATTTTAATAAATATAAACAGTTACACACATGAGTTGTCAAGCTGAGAGATATTATTATATTCAGTCAGTGCTGTGTGTGAACAGGAAATCAGCTGCAGGATGTCTTCCTTGGTTTGAGCTGCAGTTTCCACCATCTTGGTGTTTGTCTGTACCAGTCTTCAAATCAGGATGTACTGCATGTAATTGTCTGTCTGGGCTTAATTTGTGTGTGCTCAGGTCAGCACATCCAAAAATGAAAACTTACATCTCTGCATACTCAGACTCAGTGTGTTGCTAACATCTTATTCCCCCTCTGTTTCAGTCATGGTACCCGATGTGCAGGGGAAGTTGCCATGGAGGCCAACAACTCCTACTGCGGTGTGGGCATCGCCTTCAATGCCAGGATCGGAGGTGAGGAAAACAATGCAGCCTCGTCGAGACAGTGGGAGGCAGTGCATTGTGGGTGTACTGCAGTGGCCAAGACTATGACATGGCATTTTCAAAAACACTTGTAGCAGGCCACTCATTTTTTCTTTTCATAAAGTGACAATGCCAAAAACATAGAAAATTCACTTATTTCTATTTGGAGTATACTCTAAAGAAACTCAAGTCTGCATAATTAACAATAGACATGAACATTATCTTCAACAAAACAAGACGTATTTGTTGGTGAGGGACAGTGAGGCTTTGTATCTTTAAAATAAAGATTATTTCTCACCTTGCAATCCCTGTAGGAAATAAAATGAGAGTTGTGACAAGATGCATTGATCCCAGCACTTTTTGGCTTTACCTCAGAAAACAGTTGAACAAACTACATTAAATGAATTCAAAATAAATAATTGAAACTCTTTTTCTTGGCCCACATTATGGAGTGATTACTAGTCCCAAAAAACAAACAAATTATCATGCGTGTCCAGTGCAGCGAGTCTTTTTTTTCATGTTGAATCATTTTGGATAGACATTCTACAACATTGGTATGACATTGCAAATTATGCTAAATCAAAAGGCTAGTGCCATATTTGGTTTGGATGGAAATTAAAATTACATGGCTTGTTTGTTGTAAGCAAAAGCATTCTAAAATTTGGCAGAAAATGATAGAAATTATTTGTTGTTTTATTTTGTCTGTAGTGCTGGTTGTCTCTTAGAGCCTAACCCAGTCAGTGTCTGTGGGGCCAAATTACAGCTGAAAATTGCTTTCAAACATTTGAAGTCATATGTTTGTCTCAAAGTCTCTAAGATTTAAGAGTTTTAGTTTTAAATTATCAAAATGAACTATGTTATTCACAGATGTGCACATGCAGACGTTTTGTATTTCGCGTGTATGTGCTGTATGGGTTTGGGTTTGTATGAATGCAACAGACTACACAGTGACTGGCTGCTATTGAGCCGTGCTGACCCTATTTAACAGCTCATTTTTTCAGTATGAGCTTCAGTAATGGCTTTTTTAGTGTTGGTTGTAACATTGGCGAGGGATGAATGAACTGAATACACAGGATAGCCCATTTTCTGTTGTGAAACCAAACATTTTTATAGGGTACACTAAGAGTGCTGTAAACCACAAGTTAATGAGAAGTACATAAAATATTTTAGTAAGAAAATGTCCTACAGCAATCAGATATGAAGGTCCTGAAACCAATTCCATACAGTGGTTTCGGAGTATGAATAGAGGAATCCTTCGGCTGAACCCTGACATTTGAACTCTGCTCTGTGATCTTTAACCCTCGACCCTCCCTCATTTGTCAGAGGCTGATGAGAGCCTCTTCGAGAATCGACAAAAAGAGAAAAAAACAGTCAGTGAGGCAAGACCAGGAATCTCTTTCCGCAGTTAGCCTTAATTTCACCTTGCCGAGTCTATTTTATCCCGACTCATAAACAGACTCAGGCGCACAGAAGATGAAGGGGCAAGACCCAAATGAAAGATGCATGTTGAACTGCTGGGACTGCTGCTGAGACCTGTGCTTGCTGTCTGACAGTGAGGACTGGCTGAGCTTTACCTCTCCGTGCGCTTCTGCTTGGGAAATTCCCTTGAAATTCTCTGTGAATTTATGTAGCCTTGTTAGATTTAATGTGTTGTTCTAAAGGTATACACAAAGTGAAAGTGATTAATCAATAGAAAGAAGACAAATTAAGCCTGATGATGTCTATCACGCAAAATTTGTTGTCTTTTCGTTTGAAATACCTCTTGATGCTTTGTATAAACCAAATAGTAGAAGAGATTTTACAGTTACCACACAAACTCTCAATTAAATGGATTTTTAAAAGCAAAATAATATCTGGTGAGAAGCAAGGCAGTTTACGGGAGGTACAGGATTGAACATTGTTATTCATGATGACTTGAATGCCCTGAAGCAGTTGTGAAAATATATTGTATACAAAAAAGCATTTCATTTAATATTTTTTTTTATATTCATTTTTGCTAGGGGGTCTAATTATATGTGCTAAATATCTTCTGTTAGCTGCTAATTAGCCAGGTTAAGCAGTCTTAAAGTGGTTATAATCAATATTTTTATATTGCTAATGCATCACATGACTTCTTCTTGTATGCGAAAGGGGGTTGCGTAGTTACAAACCTGTGGACAAATTATCAACTCACTCTTCAGTTCTCCTCAGCTCTTTATAGAAAAATAAAGCTCTAAAAACCAACTCTACTCGGCACCAAACAGCAGGCAGGCGAAGTTAGCGACTAGCTGTGAACATAGTGGAGCATTGTGCAGCTAAAGAGCCAGATATTTCCCTCAGGAGGTTCAAGGTTCAAGGAAGAATTTATTGTCATTATCTCCATATGCAATACTCAGTGTACAGGGAAACATAACTGTTCCTTCAGTGCAACAGTGTATACAATAATAACATATATAAAGAAGAAAGCCAAGTGTAAGTAGTATTACAGTGCTCACCAGGGGCCAAGTGGGTTTGCTTCCTGGTAAAAGCTGCTGCAGCCTCAGCCCCTGCCTCTTTTTGTTACAGTTCTTCAGTTATGGACCAACAAAATTATACATAATGTTAAGTAATCCATAATTCCACCCATATATTATGTGCTTACTGCACATTGGGATGTTATTGTAGCTGCCATTCTCAACTTTGATAGCATACTCAGGCTCCCTGGAGGTGAAAAGAAGAAAAGACTTACCTCGGCTTTTTCTCACTGTAGTTATTCTGTCATCCACTGATGTCAAAATATAACACTGCATGGCAACCCTGGCTGCTGTGGCCGCAGTCATATTGCAAGCATTGCAAGCAGTATTGCCACTCCAATGTAAAATAGGCTGCATCAAACACTAATTTGCACTGCAGGTATTTAGTAAATCATTGAGCAGTCTGACCAATCCACAAAAACCAGGGCAGGTAATGCATCTATAAGGGTGGATATTAGGTGTTTTAAAAGAGCCCTTGGCTTGAAGAGCTTTCTTTTTAGCCCACATTTGCTAAGGTAAAACCAGTTAACACTACTGAGCAGAAACTAAAGATAGAAATCAATGTCCTATTTTATTTAACAGCTGATAGTGGCAATGTTACTGCCATCAATTTCATGTACATTCTCACACAACTTACACAGTTTAAGTAAACCTATGACATTTTCAACAACCAGCAATGGAGCACTATAGAAAGAGGAGACAAATACTCAGATAGTGATGGAATTCATACAGCACAAGTATTGTGTCATAGATCTCTTGCTGTACTAAAGTGTTATGGACTGAATTTAACTTTCACAACATGAAAAACGGAGTCCTTGGGTCTGTTTTTTAGCTCTTCCCGTATATTTTTGAAAAGTGTCAATTTTGTTTAATTTCTCCACAAGCCTTCCTCTGAACTCCGATCTCTGTAACCTTTTCCATCCATCCAGGTATCCGCTTGTTGGACGGCTCTGTCACTGATGCCATGGAGGCCACAGCCCTGACCTTCAACATCCACTTCATCGACATCTACGTCTGCAGTTGGGGCCCCCGGGACGACGGGGCCGAGATGGACGGGCCGCACAGTCTGACAGAGCGAGCCCTTCGGCTTGGAACTCACAAGGCACGGCTTTCATCTCCAGGTTCACACTGCTGTCTGTCAGATGTTAAGCCGACGCCTGCACTGTTAGTGGAGATGAGGTTGGAAGGAGAAAATGTCGAGTTTGGGAATTACATAGACTGATTTAATTATAATAATAATTTAATTTCTCCACTTTTTGTTTACAGCTTGTGTGATAAGTGCTTTCGAGCTTCAGTTCACTTTAGTACCAGTTTTAAAATCTTGTAATCTGCCCATGTGAATGTATTAAATGGTAGTGCTCCCACACTTATCCACATAGTGCTCAAAAATGTACACAGTTTCTCATATTCACTTGGCACAAGCCATGACTATCCACAAACTTGACTTACAAAAATAACAACTTGCCCAATATTAGGCCACGTTCACACTGCAGGTGCATGTGAACCAAATCTGGTTTTGATTATGTGACTCAGATCTGTTTTTTATGACTGATTAAAATCAGAATACTTTTTTTTTGTCACTCTCATCATGAAGGTCACTTCAGGACTCTGGCCTGTTCACACTGGAATCTGATATGGGCCACAATAAACAAATAATGTTAATAATAATCAATTTCTGTTTGTTGCAAGCCAAACGTGTAATTGCCTTGACCTGGAAGGATACTCAGAGACCTGATTCTAGACAGTGGTTTAAGGAGATGTCTTGCAGTCTGGCACTAGAAAAATTGACCTACATAGCAGGAGGGAAAGTTGAGGATTTTTATAAGATATGGATGCCTTTGTTAAATTTTATGAACAACATAGATATACAAATGTCTGGACAGATAAGCGCTGGCATTGTAACTGGCAAATAATGTTAATAATAATAACAGCCAAACAAAAACAAATCACCAATAAATCAGATTTGAGTGCTATTGCTCGCAGTGTGAATGTAGCCATAATTACCTTTTTAAAGTACATTTTTAATTCTTCCTGCAATAAGGAATACTATTGTTTCCCCTCAGTTTAAGCCTAATGTAAATATATACAGTGTAATATATTTTTTCACATGTGATATTTGAAATGCTTAGCTGGCCGCTAGATGGAAACATTCTGTATGAAATCCGCTTTTCACTTGTTCTTTCACTTTGACGTTCCTCTGTTTGTGTTGTCAGGGCCGAGGTGGGAAGGGCAGCATCTTTGTGTGGGCGGCAGGTAATGGCGGAATGCAGCGTGACCACTGCGGTGCAGACGGTTATGTTAACTCCATCTACAACATTGCCATCGGCGCTGTCTCTCAAACAGGGAAGCCCACCTACTTCGGCGAGCCCTGCCCCGGTGTGATGGCCGTCACTCTCACAGGGGCCGGCGTGGGAGGCTCACTACCTCTGGTTACTGTGCGTGTACCACCTAACACATCTAACAACAGTGTTTATCATTAATGAGGTCGTATATATATATGTGTGTGTGTGTGTGTGTGTGTGTGTGTGTGTGCCAGCAGCCCTGCTCTTTGGCTCCTGTGAGCTGTGAGAAGCCTGTTAAAGAGCAGCCACTGGTGTGATATTTATAGAGGCCTGCCAAATGACCTAGGTGACTGCTGGGCACACACACACATAAAGACACACAGAAGCAAACGAGTGTTAATTGGAGGTAAAGCGTGGCTGTAGACGCTGAGAGAGGGAGCGGAGGAAGCCAAGGTGTTGATGGCGGAGGTAGCAGTGGAAAGCCGGGAAGAAACACAGTGCCAACTCCAGGGCTACAGAAACAGAAAGGCCAATTTTATCAGTGTGATATCACCTTTGTCTGCTGAGATGCCTGCCCTTTTCCACCTCACATTAGGAGGTGGTCAGACTAGACACAAGTTGGTTTTTTAATTATCATCACTGCAAAACTGTGTTGGCGTGTTCTAATGACAGAAAAAACTGATGATGATGCAATGGCTGCTATAATGTGAGAACTCTACTAGCCTGATTTGCTTCAAAGATGCATTTTTTTCTAACAACAAACCATCTTTTTACTCTTGTTTGATATGATAGCTACAGTAAGTTGTATCTTGTAACATACTGTATGTGGTTTGTTACCTCTCCAGGTCACGGTGACCAGCATTAGTGATGGCTGTGTCACACACTTTCCAGGAACGTCCAGTGCTGCCCCGATTGCTGCAGGGATTCTGGCTCTTGTCTTAGAAGTAAAGTGAGTGTCTATCTGCCCAGTCATACTGCATACCAGTAACACTACAACAATACATGTGATACCTTGTTGATTCATGTAGGGACTCAGCATGTTGCTCAAGGACACGTCAGCAATGTGTATGCTTTTACTTTCTGATGGGCTCCAATCCCCAGGCGTGTGGTGTTTACCTTGAGTTCTTGTCATGGTTGTGATGATTGATTGGCTCTTTTTGCTGCCAATGGTATTGTCAGTGTTATTTTGACTCATATTTAAGACCACATTTCCCATATCCCCCTTGTGCTGTATTTCACAGAAAGGTTGTTGCTATTTTCACCTATGTCCCTCCTTAACACATTGGGCCTCATGCTAGAACCAAGTGGCTTCTGCAACTGATTTAGGAGAGCTTGCATCATTCGCCCATTTTCTCTTATTTTGAATTTTCTCTTAGTACAAGCACAATTTACGAGTGGTCCAGACCACTCATAGAAGTCATGTATATGTGTAATTAGTCATGTGAAATTAGTCTGCTGTTAGCAATTTTGAGTTTCCTATGTAAATTACTCTTCATAATTACGTTGACATCATGACTATACTGTTGGAATTATAATATTACTTCTAAATGTATCATACAGCCTAACAATGTTATCGTTCATTTATATAGCCTATTAATGGGGTTAAGGTTTTCTTCACATTAAGGCGTATGCAGGTTGCTGTCCAGGGGAACATCCTCTGTTGCAATGCCTGACAATGCAGCATCACCCATTAATGCACGTATTCTTTCGTCTATAAACATGATGGAGACTCCCCCTTGACCCCCTCTCGTTGCAGTCATCAATCGCCATGCTTTTCATATCAAATCACTTCTTGATTTCAGCAACAGTACGATCCTCAGGTGACGCAGCGTTAATAGCACTTGTTATCTTGTAGGTCCTTTTATTCCACTTTGTTGATGTCTGAGAGCAGGACTTCAATCTACCATACCATTTTCACCTATGAACTTCCTCACACACAGTGCAGGCTGTGTAGCCCTATATGGTGTTATTGGTGCGTTAGTTATGCAAATATTCAGTTCTCATGAACATCCGCTCTGTTACCCATTTATCATTTTTACGCAGGTGATTAACACAGAAATCTGAAGTTAGGAGCGTTTGCTGAATCTGACGTGGCACACTCGTACGAACCCACTATCTAATAAAAAGTGAGAGAAAGTAAGATAAGAAGGAGAAAATGCTCTTGCATGAGGCCCATTGTCTTTGTCTCCTCTGAAGAAAACAAAATCCCACCAGCCCTTTTCTGCCTTCAAAATCAACAGCTCTGATTGTTCATTATGGTTTCAGTTAAATTAAATAAGAGCAAAGGATGAACTCACTGTAAAGAGCAAAGAACTTATCTTAAAGAGGAGGTCGTTGTGGCTTGGTGGGTCAAACACAGGACTTTAACCTGGAGTATATTTCCTGTTTGGAACCAATGGTAACCTTTAACACATAATTTCTTTCTTTCTTTGTTTCTTTCTTATCCTTCGAATGTCACAGGAAGCAGTAATACTTTCTACCGTGTGTACAATCACATTGCGTTCTCTTAGCGTGTTCTCGCCCAGGAACACGGACACACCTTGTTAGTTCTGGAAGCACAGTACCTTCTCATGTTTTGTGCAGTAAAGCAGTGGACCTTTCTGCTGTACAGTAAATCAATCCGGCAGATTGATTATTGTCCTTTTCAGTTAATCTGTTCATTATTTTTGCTAATACGAATAAATTGTGCTGTTAGTAAAATGGCAGGAAATAATGAAAAATGCCCATCACATTTTCTGAGAGCCGAAGGTGACGTCTTCAAATAGATTGTTTTGTCCAACTGTCAGTCCTAAAAAGAGAGCCAATGCTTCAATTACTCAGTTATCAAATTATTGAAGATTAATATTCAGTTGACTTGTCAGGTAATTGACTAATCAATTTTAGCACTAAAAGACACTGAAAGAATTTTTACATTAAAATTCTCCACCTCGCACCTCTGAGCTGTACCTTGTCTCTTCTTCCCATTCCCCCCTCTCTCCATTTGTTTTTTTTTCTTTGATGTAGATCATCTATTTCTCCTCTGTCTAAATCTGCAAATATATCTCCTCGCTCTTTTCTCTCCTCTCTCTCCTTTGTCTCGTCTACCACTTCCTACTATTTCCCAAGCCCCCTTTTTCTTCATCCCTCTTAACTCGCCAGCTGTCGGTGTGGCCTCGGGCCTGGTGTTTTGTGGCGGTATCAGCGGCGTCTACGCCTTCTTCATGTTATGGATGGTACTAGAGGCCGGCTTTACTGCTCCAGCTGTCATGCCACTGCGTCTCAGTCTCAGTCGCTTGGCTGTAAAATGGAGCGCGGGTCCCCTGGGCGAGGCGACTCCCAGGACATTACTGTTAAAGGCTTTGTCGTGACCCGCTGCTACTGACTAAACTATATATCACCTCACCCGCTCAGATCGGCAGCATTCAGCTCACGTCTTTATGGAGCTGTGTTCACTCTCTCTGTCTGTATATCTTTCTGGGTCTCTCTCTCTCTCCCTCTGTTTCTCACACTTGCTCATTCTGTGTCTCACTCTTTCTCCCCACATTTCGCACAATCACACACACTCATATATTCTGCCATGGTCTCTCTCACACATGCAAACCTGGACTTGTTTTTTCTCTAATCCCCATTCATCAGAAACAACCTGCCTCATATACAGCATCCACAAGCAGCTAAACATTTGTATATATAGACACATTTCTTTATGTTTCCATGCCACTGAAATTTTTCCAAAATTGTCAAATCAAATTGAATGAGGTTAAAGCTGTGGTTCACAGAACTAACTTGAAGGCCGACTAGATGATTAAAAGCATAAAAACACATTTTCAGGCCTCAAAAGATCCTTCAAATCAAACAGTCCAAGAGTGATCAGTCTTGGCTTCTACTGCTCATAACTTCATACTAAGGACATTATTGCTTGCATACATGTTTGGAACCATAGGGCTATGTAGACAGCTCCAAATGTATTCATGAATTCTTTGTGTTGAAGTTGAATTGTAGCCATGCCAGCGGCGTGGTTAATAGAATGGTAATGTCACTCTCTCATTTTGTCGGTCCAACACTTTGGTCCATACTAGAATATCTCAACAACCATTGAATGGATTGCCATGGAATTTGCTATGGATGTCAACGGTGCCCAGAGGATAAATCCTAATGACTTTAGTGATCCTCCGACTTTTGCTATAGCAGCATCAGCAGGTCTTTTCATTTAGCCAGTGAAATATCTCAACATCTACCAGATGTTGTACAGGCATTACCATACGGTGAATCCTAATAACTTAAGTGTAGACCTGGGCAATACAACAATAGCATTATGTATTGGCAATAGACACTTCATCACTTTCAAAATAGGAAAATTGTTCAATAGAGTATTGATAGTTTCACTTCAATGCATTAAATGCAAACCCCCATTAGGGCACATAAGAAATATGCCATAAGCAGCCTATCATATCCCTTAAAAATGGAGCATGCTATGAGTGAGTCACCATAGCTACTTCCACCCTTTGGGTTTCGCAACATGTTGTTATCTCAGCCTACATCTGTTACATCTCAAGAAACAATCCACAGGTAGTCCACGATGGAGCATTACAAGTATCACCTGTGTGCCTTAATAAATAAATTGGTTAAATTCAACCTTTTTTCCACCGGTTTATTAAAAATAGGTCTTTAAGAATTGTCAATAATGATCGATACTGACTGAAATGAAACATTTGGTGATACATTTTTCAGCCCTACTTTGGTGATTAGTGTTAGCACGCTAACATGCTAAACTAAGATGGTGAACATGGCAAACATTGTACCTGCTGAACATCAGCATGTTAACATTGCCATTATAAGGCTGTTAGCTTTCTGACGTTAGCATTTAGCTGAAAAGCCTCTTCAATCTTAGTCTTGATGATAAAGGTTACACTAGCCCAGTTTAGAATATGATGTACAGCATTAATCCAACACACACCTAGACTACTGACACACGCCATTTTACAGTGTCTTCTGTAGACTTGTATTTGCACATACCTGCGGTTCTATATTGATACATATAATCTGTTTGTTTTTACTTTATTACTTTTTTCATATGTGGTTATTAGATTACACAATTAATCCCTCTGTCAATCACTCTATTATCTCCACCTGCATTTTCTCTTCATGCAACTACACTCCCCAGAACTGCAGCCTTTCTGTGGCTAATGAGAAATGCTTAAAGTTTTCTTGCAATCTTTTGCTTCATCTTTTGTTAATTTGTCAAAAAAAAGTGAGCAGATTGGAAAAATGCAAACACTGTGACTAAGTTCTCCACAGCATCTTATCACACTGTGATAAGATACTAAATGTTTATGAAATTGCACAGACTTGGAAACGAATCATCTTTGTCATTTCTGATACAGTATGATGTGATTTATTTCTGCTGGGAATAGTTGATATTGCAACATACATTTTTGATATAAAATGGCAGAGAGCCTAAAGGGGCGTACAGTGTGTTGTTGTCTATGTTATCAGAGTACCCTTCAGTGTTTTGCTGCCCCAACAGTGTCAGGGTGTCACTGTCTATTTGTCTCTCTGACACTATGTTGGCCTGTCTGTCTCCATCCATCCGTCTTGACGCCCATCCAACAAACCATCAGGGTAAATCAATTCTTCGCTCGTCCCGTTTGTCAGTCTTTCTGTCTCTGGCTGTTTGTTTGTTCACTTTATCACCATGTCAGCCTCTCTGCCACTTTATCTCTGTTTCTTTCATCCATTCATTCATCCAGTCAGTCTATCCATTTGCTCGGATGGAGCAGAACATTTTGTTTAACTGTGATTTCACCTCGTGTCCTGGGATTTGTACACCTGCAGATGTCCATTTTACTGTCCATCCCTTCCTGTTTCTCCCAAAAGAATTTGGGCTGTCTGGAAAGACGGATTGTCTCCTCCTTAACCCCAGTCGCCCTGTGCTGTGATCATGTGAACTTTTTTGGCCCTTCTATGCAATCA